CCGCCCGTCCCGTGAACCTGGCCACTGACTGCCACAGGGTTCTCACCTGGACCCACTCCCGTCCTGGGATCAGCCAGCAGCAAAGGCCTGGTCACTGGGGGTCTGGGTCCCAGGGCCCCCGACCCAGACACAGAGGTGCACGCAGCACCCCCTCCTGAGGAGTGTTTCAGGGTCACTGTTTCCCCGGGGGGTGGCGAGAACGCCCAGAGCTTCCAGACCGGCCCACATAAGTCACTTCCAGGAGAGGTCTCCCCACCCAGAGAGAAAACTGCTCTTTTCATTGAAATCGGGGATTCTCAGCCTCGGCACTGTGGGCGTTTGGGGTGAGATGGTTTGGGGAGGGGCCGTCCTGTGCATTGTGGGATGTTCAGCAGTCCCCTGGCCTCTAGCCCCTGGATGCCAGTAGCATCCCCAGTGTGACAGCCAAAAACGTCTGCAGACACCGCCCGATGTCCCATTGGGGGTCATCACCCCCTGACCTAAAGCCATCCAGGAGGGAGAGCTCAGTGTTTCCACAAATCCGCAGACTATGGGGGGCTCTCAGCTCTGGGAGCCACTGTTTCGGGGATTTTCTTGACCTGCACTTTCCTTTCTTATAACCTATATCAGACTCCTGTAGGCAGGAAAGTGGCTCCTTAACAGAAGTGACCCATGACCACGGCATTGTTTTTAACCTGTCCTCAGGGCGTCAGCCGGTCCCGGTTCCAAAGTTAACCACCAGCGCCCTCTCGCGGCAAAATAAATCATTTCCTTATCCTGCAGCATCCTTCACGAGAGTCCTTCCTGCGGCCTTCTGAGAACCTGGTTTGCACAGGAATCACTTTCATTTCTGCCACGTGGGTCCTCCACACAGAGGCCTTCTGGAGGCAGGTGGCTGCCACGTGGGAATGGCTGATGGTGACAAGTCACGGTAAAGGCAGTCCTGCTGGCTGCCTCGGCCTCCGCGGGTCTCCCACAGATGACCGGTTCACTCCCTCAGCCCCCGGGAGTGTGTCACAGGCCACATGCCCTGGGACCCTTCTTCCCCTGCCCCCAGCTACTGCCCTGCCACTTTGGGGCACTTAACCCCTAATTAACTCTCCAATGACAACACCCCAGGCGGGCCAGTGGGCCATTTATTTTTTCACAAGCTTTGAATTCAGAAATAAGAGCCACAATAAGTCAATTGTTAAGTAAAAATGGGGGTGATTACAAAGGAAAACTGTACAAAACTTTAAAAATCTGAGTGCCCCGTCAACCTCAGAGGGACAAAGACATGGGCCACTGGAAGCAGCCGTCACCCCACGGTCGTTGGCCCTAAACGGGGACAAGAGGCCCCTTTCCGAGTGTGCACCTGGCACGGCCCGGCGTCCAGAGCTGGCCGGAAGGACACACAGACCAGAAAGACATCATGGCCAGTGACACGCAGCACAGAGACCGGGATTTCCGACACAGGACGCGGATGACACTTCTCCAAGCTCCCTGCCTCTTTGAGGACTCACAGGTCTCGGCAGGGGTGGGGGGCTCCCGTCCAGCGCAGACTGAGGGTGGGGACAAGGGGTAGACGTCTTCGTGTTAAGCGGGGAGCTGCCCTGAGGGCCTGAGGTCTCGGCCTGGCGCCTACGTTGTCCTCGGTCATGCGCCGTGAGACGCGCGCGGACTTGCATACGGAACTCAGCAACATGCATCAACTACCCTAGAACAGCTACGGGTGCAAAGGAGCCACTCGGGAACCACGGGGCC